TCAAGTTGTGAAGCTGTAGGTGCAGTCAAGAAACCGGCATCAAGAGGCAGCATTAGGCATTCTAACTTGGATTTGCCTGTCTGTCAGAATGAAAACGTATATTAGTGATTCTGTAACGTTGGAAAACTCAAAAAGTGTTGAAATGGAACAAAATGACATGATTCTTGTGAATTTCATGCAGAAAACTATTTATATTGTGCTCTGTTTCTGACATGATGTTGTCTGAAAATAAAATGCTCAAAGTCTATCATCAATCCCCAAAAATACTTGCATTTATGTAAACTGGATTTTCTTGCTTTAGAAAATTTTTTTTTTTTTAAAGAAAAATGAAAAAAAAAAAAGAAAGGAGAAAGTAAAAGTCACAACATGGGCAACATCCAGAAACACCAGGTGGGTACTTCTGTGCATACATCAATACCTAAATTTGGGTATTACTCTGATTATATTATATACTTTGGTATTGAATTTCCCAGTTTGGGTTTATATCCAGAAACGGGGATGGAGGACCGGAGGATTCAAGATACCTTCAGCTGAAGCTCAAAACGAGGTAAAAATGGTTCTCAATTGGGAGATTCTGAACTGAATTTGCATTTGCCTCTGTTTGCTTCTTATATTCCTCATCTGCTGAATCCTTGAATTGGGTGAATATATAAATAGAATTGCTTGACTGAAATCATGGTGTACTATTCTCTTGTCTATGGAAGTAAAGATTTTCAAGAAATTTTCAAGGATTATTGTTCTCTTGTGAGTGGTGTCTCCAATTTCCTCAGAGTTTTTGATTCAAGGGTTTTGTGGTGGCGTAAAAAAGGGTTTTTTTCTTTCTCTTTTTTTTTTCAATGGTGTCAGAATTTCAGCCATTTGAAAATACTTCTAGTAATATACTTGTTTATCTTTTACACAGACTGGTGTCACAAAGGTGTTTCCATTTTGCACACTATTAACATAGGAAATAAATATATATACCTGCAGTCTTTGGGGGACTTTGATAATTAGTTAAAGAACTTCAAGGCTGTTTTCCTCTCAAAGAGTCTGCTATTCTCTTTGAGAGACAGTAAGCAGTTGATTGGATTGTGATCATGGGATTGACACCAACAGCACTTGGCAGAACACTTGCATCACAAACAAATAATCCTTCTGCTTCCCAACTTTCCCCATTCCCATCAACTGCACCTTCTTTTTCATTAATCCCCATCCTGCAGCTACCCATCTGATGAGCACTGGCATAGAGCATGCAGTTCTTGTCATGGGATAGTGTGCTTCCAACTGCAGAAACATTGTCCAGAAACTCCTCAAATTGTTTTCTATCCATCTCTTTGCATTTGATTCTCTGACCATCACTACGATGGGTGCCCACCTCCACAGCTCCAGCTGCTGCCAAAATCCTCAATGCCTGCCTTATGCCAGCTTCAAGATTTTCCTTGTCTACTGCATCAAAATTGTAGGTTATCCTTCCCTCTGAACTAACTTCACCTGATCCACGGTCCCTTATTATTGTCATCATAAGAGCAGTTCTTGCAAATTTTAGCATCCTTGTTTTCATGTCTAGTCCAGATGTCCAAGGGCATAATGCAGCATACTGACCTGGCCCTAACGCAGGAGTTTCAATGATAGCTCTCATATTTGAGTCTTTTGATACCACTTTATGGACTGATGTGATAATTCCACCCTCATAGGCTGTTCCCTTGAGCTCTGAATTTGAACTTGGGAAGTACCCCCAAGTCATTAGGACAGGGTGGAGATGAAGATTTTTACCAATGTTCTCATTCTTCAACCCACTAGATTTCATTAAAGGGGGTGTCAGAAGAGCCCCACATGCTGAGATTGTTACTTTCGCTTCAATTTGCAGTTTCTTCGTGACATTGTTGTTTAAGACTTTTGCAACCACTCCCAAGCATTTCTTTTTCCTTGTACTGCCTTTCTTCTTCTTTTCTAGCATGAACCTCTCAGCCTTGCATCCTGTTATGATCACTGCACCATGATCCACGGCATCTACTAGCCAGGTGCGATCAGTCCCTTTTTTGTCTCCTCTTCTACAACCAAAACCACAAGATCCACAGTAATGACTCTCTGAAGAATTCCGTGGCACTCTTTCAACTTCAAGACCAAGATTTTCACATCCTTTCCTAAGGACTTGATTCTGAAATCCTTCCTCTCTACAATTTTCTGTGACACCAATCCTCTTACAAACAATGTCCATAGCAGAGACATATTCAGGGCTCCCAAAAAGTGAGATTTTGTAGTCCTCAGCCCACTCGTGAAGCAAAGACCTTGGTGTTTTGATGCACGCTGACCAGTTGACAGCTGAACCACCACCAACTGTTGAGCCAGCCAATATCAACGTCTTCCCATCAACACTCGGTAGGATTCCTCCTGCTTCATATAGTTGATTCATTGAGGGGCCTTCAAAGGGGGAATAATCTACAGGAGCAAAATAGCCCCCTTTCTCAAGGACAATGACCTTTTGGCCAGAGGTAGCCAGAACAGCAGCTGCAACACCTCCGCCACAGCCGGAGCCCACAATTACAGCATCACATTTGATTTTGTAGAAGTGTTGTTCAGGATCTTCTGTAACTACAAGGCCTTTCTGAGTCAGTGAATGGAGAAGGGTAGAGTCCTTTTCATGCATAGTTTCTATTGTTCCTTTCTGAAGAGGCCTCTCATTTGGCACTTGGGGCAGCTTCTCATCACAGTCTACCCGATAGCCAATGGCTTCCCATGCTGGATTATTGCCATCTTCGCTGCCCTGTGGATCCAACTCAAGTTAAGAATAATATTCTTGACTAAACTTAGCTAGAACCCTTTTGCAAGAGATTGAAGAAAATACAAAGCTCCTAAGATCTCAGCTATTCATAGTAGAAAAGATGAACGGCTAGAATTTTACGTTAATGATGTGTTTAAGTGGATTCTAACTCATTCTTTTATATATTGCTTAAAAGTGTAGTGTTCATGATTAGGCTAGTAATGATATTACTAGCATATTAATCTGAAGGACGGAAGAGCAAAATTACCCTTGAGAAGAAAACATAGAGGCAACAGACCCTGATGATACCCAACACAGATCTGATAGGAGTTAGAAAGGTATGCTTATTCCACCACTGTAGAACTTTCTCTCTCTTCTCCAAGGACATTCCAGAGAAGTTATTGATATAGGGCCATTTGTCACCTAAACATAGAGACCCAGAAAGCAACAGTGTCCCCAACCTAGATGATAACATCCACAATAAAATTCTGGCCATGATCACAAGTTCTGTGAAACCCCTCTTCACCAGTGTCTCTGCTACCTGTTTCCAACGCTCCACAATCAAAATCAATCCCAGCTGATTTTAATTCTCGAAATAACTTTAAAAAATAAAAATAAAAAAATAAAAAAATAAAAAAACACTTTACCAATATCATAAACCGATGCCACTTGTTTTCATTTCTCAAAATTACTCAAAAAGCTCAAGAAACTAAATGAATTCAGACGAAAGCAGAAGCAAGTTGTATATCTGTATGTGTGTGTATGCGTATGTAAAGAAAATCTGTTTACCTCATCAGGGATAGGAGGTTGAGAGGCTGAAGCATTGAGGAAGGACTGCACAGCCTTGTTTGGTTTCTCTTCTTCTCCCTCGAGGGAATCTGAAGGAAAAGAAGGAAAAACAGCCTCACAAAAACTAGACAGAGCCTGCATCTGTGCTGAACTGAACCCATGATGGTATCGCTTCTTTCCTTCCCGTGTTTTATCTCCTTTCAACGAAGGTTTCTCCTCTAATTCTCTCATGATCTCTCCCTTATAGTATTACGTTCGTGATGTCTTTTATAATAAAGTATAGCTTTATGTTGTATATTTTGAGGACACCTTTTGCATGTTGTGGAAATGTGGAGGGGAAGGGGGAGGAGGATTATAAATTATAAAATTTTCCTTGAGGCTAAACAGGAGATGGTAAACTTTTTTGCCCTTTTCTTCTTCTTCTTCTTCTTCTTTTTTTTCTCTTCAAAAGTAAAATTTCCAGGACATGTAGATTGTTAGATACACGATCATTTTGGATGGAGATGTATAGGAATAGGACGGCTCATATTCTTTTTCAGGCAAATGCATGTGATTGATTAAAGGTTAAATCCTCATTTTGGTCCCTGAACTATTGTACGGACTCTCGATTTGGTCCCTGAACTAAAGAAATCCCTGATTTAGTCCTTAAACTATTGTATGGACCCCTGATTTGGTCCCACTATTTATAATTTGGCCTAACTTGATCCTTAAACTATTGTACGGACCCCCAATTTGGTCCTTATTGTTTACAATTTCGCCCAAATTTAGTCCCTGAGCTATTATTTAACAGAAAGACCAAGTTAGGGTTAAATTGGTAAACAGTATGGACCAAATTGGGTATCCATACAATAGTTTAGGGACTAACTTGGAAGTCCGTACAATAGTTTAGGGATCAACTCAGGTCCGTACAATAGTTCAAGGACCAAATTAGGGATTTCTTTAGTTCAGGGACCAAATCAAAGATCGTACAATAGTTTAGGGACCAAATAGGGGTTTAACCTTGATTAAATACTCGTGTGTCTAAATAATAGTCTTTTTTAGTTTAAATTTATTTTAAAATAATAGTAATTTTTTTATATGTAAAAAAGATACATATATTTATATCTATTCTTATTATGATTTCTTAACTTTAAATATTAATCTTTTCATAAAAATATCTTATTATTATATTCTTTTTAGAGTCATACAAGTAAAATTATAAATTGTATTTAAATTCTTAATCTAATGTGAGAGACAGTGAATTTGTTTGTTGGGAGGGACCTTTTTGGTGTCTTAAAGCCTGAGAGAGAGCTACGTGCAACATTAAACCACTTATTGAGAAGGTAGAAATTCCAAGTAAAATAAACATTGTAACTACCAATATTAGTATGGTACGATACTTTGATGCTGCCCCCAAAGATATAAGATTTCTGCTGCATCAGGCATGCAATTACGTAAAGGGAGGATTTTCATCACACATTGGGGGTTGGTGGGGCAATGGTTGAGAACAAAGTTGGCTTACCTGCCTGCTACTTTGGCCATGTTTGATATACATTAGAAAGTAGTTCGAGTAATTGAGAGTAGTGCTTAAACTCTATAATGATCATTTACTTAATTTAATTATTTTTACTTACCAATTTAGTTGTTTGTGGAAGCCAACCAATTTAATTTTGG